CAGTGCCTGTTGACTAGGAGACACCTCCCAGCAGGGGTCGACAGATACCTCATACAGGAAAGCTCCAGCTGGCATCTGGTTGGTGCCCCTCTGGGATGAAGCTTCCAGAGGAAGGAACAGGCAGCAATCTTTGCTGTTCTGCAGGCTCCACTGGTGATACCCAGGCAAACAAGGTCTGGAGTGGACCTACAGCAAACTCCAGCAGACCTGCAGCAGAATGGCCTGTTAGAAGGAAAATTAACAAACAGAAAGGAATAGGATCAACATCAACAAAAAGGATATCCACACAAAAACTCAATTCTAAGGTCAGCAACATCAAAGACCAAAGATAGGTAAATCCATGAAGATATGGAAAAACCTGTGCAAAAAGGCTAAAAATTCCAAAAATCAGAATTGGGAATAATACACTCCTCAGCAAATACAAAAGAATGGAAATCATAACAACCAGTCTCTCAGACCAGAGTGCAATCAAATTAGAACTCAGGATTGAGAAACTCACTCAAAACCACACAACAACATAGAACCTGAAAAACCTGCTTCTGAATGACTACTGGGTAAATAAGAAAATTAAGGCAGAAATAAAGAAGTTCTTTGAAACCAATGAGAACAATGACACAACATACCAGATTCTCTGGGACATAGTAAAGCAGTGTTTAGAGGGAAATTTATAGCACTAAATGCCCACAGGAGAAAGTGGGAAAGATTTAAAATTGAGCCTAACATCACAATTAAAAGAACTAGAGGAGCAAGAGCAAACGAATTCAAAAGCTAGCAGAAAACAAGAAATAACTAAGAGCAGAGCAGAAGTGAAGGAGATAGAGACAGGAAAAACAATTCGAAAAATCAATGAATCTAAGAGCTGGTTTTTTGGAAAAGATTCACAAAATACCTAGACTGCTAGCCAGACTAATGACAAAGAAACGATAAAAGAATCAAATAGACACAATAAAACATGATAAAGGGGATATTACCACTGATCCCACAGAAATACAAACTACCATCAGAGAATACTATAAACATTTCTATGCAAATAAACTAGAAAATCTAGAAGAAATGAATAAATTCCTGGACACATACAGCTTCCCAAGACTCAACCAGGAAGAAGTCAAATTTCTGCATAGTCAATAACAAGGCCTGATATTGAGGCAGTAATTAACACTCTACCAACACAAAAAGCCCTGAACTAGATGGATTCACAGCCATAATCTATCAGAGGTACAAAGAAGAGCTGGTACCATTCCTTCTGAAGCTATTCCAAACAATAGAAAAAGAGGGATTCCCCCTAACGCATTTTATGAGGCCAGGATCATCCTGATACAAAAACCTGGCAGAGACACAACAAAGAAAAAATTTTAGGCCAATATTCCTGATGAACATAGATGTAAATATCCTCCATAAAATACAGGCAAACTGAATCCAGCAGCACAGCAAAAAGCTTATCCACCATGATCAAGTCAGCTTCATCCCTGAAATGCAAGGCTGGTTCAACATATGCATATCAGCATCATATATGCATATATCCATCATATAAACAGAGCCAATAACAAAAATCACATGATTATCTCAATAGGTGCAGAAAAGGCCTTTGATAAAATTCAATACCCCTTCATGCTAAAAACTCTCAAGAAACTAGGTAAAAATGGAATGTATCTCAAAATAATAAGAGCTATTTATGACAAACTCAAGCCAGTATCATACTGAATGGGCAAAAGCTGGAAGCATTCCCTTTGAAAACTGGCACAAGACAAGGATGCCCTCTCACCACTCCTATTCAACCTAGTATTGGAAGTTCTGGCCAGGGCAGTCAGGGAAGAAAAAGAAATAAAAGGTATTCAAATAAGAAGTCAAATAGTCTCTGTTTGCAGATGACATGATTGTATATTTAGAAAACCCCACCATCTCAGTCCAAAAATCTCTAAGCTGATAAGCAACTTCAACAAAGTCTCAGGATACAAAATCAATGTGCAAAAATCACAAGCATTACTATACATCAATAATAGACAAACAGAGAGCCACATCATGAGTGAACTCCTATTCAAAATTAGTACAAAGAGAATAAAATACCTAGGAATACAACTCACAAGGGATGTGAAGGACCTCTTCAAAGAGAACTACAAATCACTGCTCAAGGAAATAAGAGAGGACACAAACAAATGGAAAAACATTGCATACTCATGGATAGGAATAATCAATATCATGAAAATTGCCATCTGCCCGAAGTAATTTATAGATTCAGTGCTACCCCCATCAAGTTACATTGACTTTCTTCAAATAATTAGAAATAACTACTTTAAATTTCACATGGGACCAAAAAAAGAGTTTGTATAGCCAAGACAATCCCAAGCAAAAAGAATAAAGGTGGAGGCATCACGCTACCTGACTTCAAACTATAGTTCAAGGCTACAATAAGCAAAATAGCATGGTACTGGTACCAAAACAGAAATATAGGCCAATGGAACAGAACAGAGGCCTCAGAAATAACACTACATATCTATAACCATCTAATCTTTGAGAAACCTGACAAAAACAAGGAATGGGGAAATAATTTCTTATTTGATAAATGGTATTGTGGAAACTGGCTAGCCACATGCAGAAAACTGAAACTGGACCCCTTCCTTACACCTTATACAAAAATTAACTCAAGATGGGGTAAAGATTTAAATACAAGACCTAAAATCATAAAAACCCTAGAAGAAAACCTAGGCAATACCATTCAGGACAAAAGAAGGGACATGGATAAAGCTGGAAACCATCATTCTCAGCAAACTAACACAAGAACAGAAGACCAAACACTGCATGTTCTCATTCATAATCAGGAGTTGAACAATAAGAACACATGGACACAGGCAGGGGAACATCACACACACAGGAGCTGTCAGGGGGTGGGGGGCAAGGGGAGGGATAGCAATAGGAGAAATACCTAATGTAGATGACAGGTTGATTGATTCAGCAAACCACCATGGCACATGTACACTGATGTAACAAACCTGCACGTTCTGCACAGGTATCCCAGAACTTAAAGTATAATAATAACAACAAAAGGAACTGGTAATAACAAAGAAAATCTCAGAACATTTTTTACTCTTTTCAGTTAACAAGAGAAGACATGGAACATATGTAAATTTAAATTTGTATAAATATTTTCCCCTAACTAAAAAAAAAAAACTATGCATGAATTTCAAATTTTTTGGTACCAAAAATTCATATGCACTTGTAACATATCTGAACAAGATCTAGTTTGAGACACAAAAAAGGATAAGACATCGGCTTGAAAATAGCCCCATCAGAGCAGCATGAATTGAAGCAAGAACAAACATCACATTTATGGTTAAGGTTGGGTGGAAGAATGGTGAAATCAAGGATGCTTTACAATTTTGATGGGGAAAATTCCCCCAAAGAAATCTGAAGTTTACAAATGAATAACTTGTTTGCAGAAGGAATGAGATAATGTTGAAGAAGCCTGCAGTGGTAGACCATCCATATCGATTTTTGAGGAAAAGAGTAATCTTGTGTGTGCCTCAATTGAAGAGGACTAACAGTTGACAGCACAAACAACCAGGCAATACCATAGACATCTCAAGCGGTTCTGCTTACACAATTCTCACTGAAAAACTGAAGTTAAGCAAATGTTCCATGTGATGGGTGCAAAATTGTTGCACCTAGCTCAGCTGAAGATAAGAGCAGAGCTTTCAATGGAAATTGTAAACAAGGGGATCAAGATGTTGAAGCATGTCTTTGAAGAATTTTAACAGGAGATCAAACATAGCTTTCTCAGTATGATCCTGAAGACAAAGCACAATCAAAGCAGTAGCTACCAAGAGGTGCAAGTGGTCCAGTCAAATCAAAAGTGGACTGGTCAAGAGCCGAAGTCATAGCAGGCATTTTTGGAATGCTCAAGGTATTTTGTCTGTTGACTTTCTGGAGGGCAGAAGAACAATAGCATCTGCTTATCATGGGAGAAAGTTAACCAAAGTTTTAGCAGAAAAACACCCAGGAAATCTTCACTGCAGAGTCCTCCACTAGGACAATGTTCCTGCTCATTCCTCTCTGTAAATAAGGGCAATTTTCCAGAAGTTTCCATAGGAAATTATTTCTGACCTGGCTCCTTCTGACATATTTTTGTTCCCTAAACTTGAAAAATCTGTAAATGGCACCCACTCTTCTCCAGTTAATAATGTTAAAAAGCCTGCATTTTTATGGTTAAAGTCCCAGAACCCTCAATTCTTTACAGATGTACTAAATAGCTGGTATCATCACTTAAAGTGTCTTTAACTTGATGGAGTTTATGTTGCACAACATAAATTTTTATTATTTTAACACAAATTAAATTTTATCTTTTAATTCCATTTTCCATGAACTTTTACTTTATTCTTTAAAAAATAAATCGAAGTGTTTTAATTCTACTTGCCTTTTTTACTTATTACACCTCAGGAGATTTTTTGCCATATGGATTCACCTCATCCCTTGTCACGATTGCATAATCTTCCGTAGTCGGAATATTCCATGTTTTATTTCTTCATTCCCCCACTGTTCAATTTTCTTCAACTACAAGCATTGTTCATAATTCTGTACTGTTTGTGAGCCTGTACAGGAGTATCCGAGCACAAGCCTTTTTATGCATTGTGGGAGTGTTACTCTGAGATATACACCAGGGGAATTGCTGGGTCATAAATCCAATTTTTTCAAAGTAAATCCGCCCGTGAACCTGAAACCAAGGCGGTTTTTCCCCATCCCCGGTTCAGGAGCGCGCAGTCGTGACTGGCTTGTTCGCTCGGGCCAGGGGGTCGCCCTGGTCTCAGGTGCCAGGGCAGGGTGACCTACCACTCTTCTCTGCACGCGCTCGGGCCACGCCTCGCGGCCTCTTTCATTGAAAAATCCCAAAGGGATCACGTGAAAGAGCCCTGCCGAGTGCGTGACGTCACGACGCTAAGACCAATGGTAACCTCTGTTTATGTCGGGAGCCATCAAATAGTCATTCCAGCCCCCCCAACCCCGCCCACCCTACGCAGCGTTGCGTCGCGCAGCTCTAGGGCACGGAGTTGAGGCAGGCTGCGGCGTGGCTGGAGCGCCGCGGGGAGAGCTGCGCCGGTTGCTCTCGGCAGCCGCGTCTCGGCCAGCTCTCCTCGCAGTCCCCGGGGCGCTGTGCGTCTCCAGTCCAGGACCGAAGCCGCTGGCCGCAGCGGGCGGCCAGATCCGCGTCCCGCCTCAGCGCCCGAAGGACATGCGGGAGAGAGAATGAGCCAGAGGGACACGCTGGTGCATCTGTTTGCCGGAGGGTAAGGTCCAGGCGGGGCGTGCGTACTGGGTCTGAAGGTGCTGGGACCCGAGACGCGGGCGAGAGGGAGGAGGGGGCTCCAGGCTGGGGATGGGGGCGGGCGGGGCGCGGCCTGGGCGGGGAGCAGCCCAGCCGGTGGATAGCAAGGGGGGACTCCGATTCTGGGAAGCGAGTGGGTGAGGCCCGGGCTCGAGGGCGAGAGAGTGAGGCCTGGGCGAGGAGGGTTGAGGCATGAAACCCAGGCCAGGAGTGAGGCTTTGGGCCCGCGGGGCGGGTGTGGCGGGGGCGGAATCCCTGCGGCTGAGTAGACGCGGGCAGGGCTGGGGTCGATGCTTGATACCCCAGCTGCCGCTGGACCCGGCCACATGCCGCAGTCTAGCGGATGTCGGGGATGCAGGGTCGCTTTGAGGAGCCTGGCTCCGAGTTCGTGTAGGTTGCATGGCCCAAAGGGAACGGGGCGGAAAGTGCGGAGGCCGAGGACAAAATGGGCGCCGGGGCCTCTTCAGCCTTTGCTCCGTGCCGCGCGCGCACGGGCCTCCGCACGTCACTCACGCTCCACCTCGGACCGCGGGCCGCTCATTTCCGGGCTCGGCTCTGCAGGATGGGTTATAGCGGGGCTACCGGCTCTAGCGGGAAAGGCTTTGGTATTGCCGGTTGATTGCTATAAGGTGTTTCTATCCTTTGAAAAATTTCTTGCCCGAGCTTTTCCAGGTGGTGAATGGGGTGCAAAGCTTTGCAGTGACTTTGGGGTCAGATTCCTTTCGAGAAAACCACCTTTTTTGTATACCCTTGCTTTTCTGCTGCTTAGGAGAAAGTAGGAGTGGAGAGGTCAAATTTTTTGACGATAGTGTTAATAGTTACTATGTGTGTGCAAGATTAGGACAAAGCCTAAAGTCTTAGTTCCCTGATTGCCAGCATGAGTACTAGAGCTGCCCATTTAGCCACGTATTTAGATTTGTTCCTTCTAAGTTATTTGGAGAATCATAGCAATTTTAAGAATTACTTATTTGGAAGATTATAACGAGTTTTCTTATCAAAAATGGCTTCGGTGAATTATACTAAGACTCTTCCCAGAATCTTCTTAAATCCTACAGTTTTTAGATTGATCACTTTTAAGAATATGAAATACATATGCAGTTCTATTCACGACGTATTGCTTTGAGTTGCACATAGGAACTCTATTGAACCAATGATGGCAATACTTTTTTTAGGTTGGCACACTGTCATTCACCAAATATTACTGCTCATCAGTTACGGGCCAGGCACTGTTCTGGCATAAAAGCAGTATCTTTCTGTTAATCTTTGAGACCCAGTTTAGGCACTTTGCTTTCCATATTTCTGCCGTGTTTACTGCCAATAATCAGGCAAGTTAAAAACATGTTTTTAAGTTCGTAGTTGTGTAGATGCTCTTGAAGAGTAAAGATGCCATGCAAATAATTGTAATTAGATCTGTATCACCTGAAACGAGGAGACCACAGATGTCGTCTAGCACTATTGTAATTTGGATGAAAAATGGACACTTTTATTTTGATTACTTCATCTATAAAATTAGAAGGTCATATTATAGGATCTCTAAAGCCCGTCTCTCGCTCCTAACATTTCTGTTACTCTGCGTTCAGGATTCATATATCAAGTTTTGTTTAAAATGGGGCACACTTATATTTGAAATAAATGTTAGCTTGATTGCTAACAATTTCTCACTTTGGATTAGGATCATGGTTTTGTTATAAAAACATGTAAATATAGGTTTTCTGGTTAGCTTTTTTTTTTTAAGAACAGGAATGGGAGGTCTTTGTAGCATCTAAACACACAGGTTAGGTGCTCCATCCCCCTCCCCCTCCCCAGTCTAGCTTATGTAGTTTATTTAGGGTATTAAATGAGATTGGTATGTAGGATCTGATACAAGAGAGGTGCTCAGCCATGTAATTTCTCTTGCTTTGCATCTCAATTTTATTTTTATATGTGGTTACATAAGTGGGTTCTGTAAAACGCACCTTTATAAAGAAAGTCCATTATATTTTAAAAGAACCAAGAGTAACATTTCACATGGTATTTAATCTTAGGCAAGGGTTATCAGAATATGGAGGCTTTGAGTTGTTTTTCTGATAAGTAAAATTGTAATATTCAAATATATTTATCAGAATCCCAGATTTCTAATAGCCTAGTAGCTGTATTGTTAAAGCCGCAACATTTGAAACACCAGCACTGGACCTTGGTTCTGGGTTAAATACTCACATGCATATCTCGTGCTTTGTTTAAGACACCCTTTGATCCCATTATGCTTTTGCCAGAGTTAATATTCAGAGTTTGTAAGGTCAGGGGTTAGGTTAATTGAGTTACGGAAGCATATCACAGCAGCCTGTAAAAAAAAAAATATATATATATATGATTTAATTTTAGCTGTACCTCTAATACTGTATGTCTGTATATAGAGGTGAAAGCAATATGAAATGTATTTTAAATAAATACTTTGATAGAATGATACATTGTCTAGTTGTATCAGCTGCATATATCTACAGAGGCAGCTCATTTTTTTCTATTTGAGGGAGAGATCGTCTCAAATAGGAGCTGTATGCCTTCAGACTTTAAGTGGATGAAGTTTTTTCTTTGTAGCTTCTATTACAGAGAGATAATATATGTACTAAGTAAAATCAAAGATTATCTAAGAACTGTCTATTTTTATATCCTAGAGCTCATTCATTTATTATTTATTCAGTAAGAAACGCCCATTTTGGTATAGTGAATGGTATTTGTTGTTAAATTATTTCACCGGTTTTATTGAAGATCAGGACAGAAGTAGAATACTTAAAAGTTTAATTCATGTGGTTTATTTCCATTTCACTCTGTCCATATTTTTATTAGTCCCATTTCCTTAATTTTTACTACCTCTCTTTTTCCTCTGTCTTGCTCTGTTTAAGCTGCTATTACAAAATACCAAAAACTGGTGGCTTATAATAGCAAACATTTCTAACAGTCCTGAAGGCTGCAAAGTTCAAAATTAAGGTACTAACAGGTTCTTTGTCTGATGATGGTCTACTTCCTCATAGAAGACACTCTCTTGCTGTGTCCTCATGTAGTAGGAGAGGCTAGCCAAGATCTCTGGTATCTACAGAGGCAGATAGTACCTTACAAGGGTACTAATTCCAAATGTCAGGGCTATAGTCTCATGACCCAATCACCTCCAAAGTATCTACTCACCTTGGGATGTGTGTAGGATTTCATCTTATGAATTTTGGAGGAGACAAACAGTCAGACATCATCCTCCCCTTTTTTCCTTCTAAAAATGCATTCTGTCATTCTTACTAATAGATTGCAAAACTAAGGGAAGTTTCTTATCCTGTTGGAGAATATTCTCAGAGAAACCTTTTTTCTGTAAATAGATAAGTATAGCACAGCAGCTACCATTTTTCTGTAAATGGATTAGTGTAGCACAGCATTTGGGGTCAGGGACTCTTGGGTGTTCTTGAGACCCTTCTTGTGGTCTGAGAGTTTAAACTATTTTCATAAAAATACTAAGACATTATTTGAACAAATATGTTGACATTTGTCCTGATGGTGCACAAGCAATGATGGGTAAAACTGCTGATGCCTTAGCATGCATCAAGGCAGTGGCACCAGACTGTAGTCATTTCACCTTCAGGTACTTGCAATTAAAAAAACCAAAAAGGCCAGTTTCACTTAAAGAATGCTCTTGAAGGGGTAAAAATTACTAATTTAATTAAATTGCAACCTTTGAATACGCTATTTAATATTCTGTGTGACAAAATGGGAAATAGGCATAACGTAATTCTGCATGCTGAAGTGTGGTTCTGCATTGTTTCAATTGCAGGCTGCACTAGCTTCTCTTTTTCATGGAGACCCATTCTACTTATAAGAACAATTAATAGACTGATTACTCAGACTTCTGTATTTAGCAGACATTGTCTCAAAAACTAAAGGAAGTAAGCCTTTTTAAGGAAAACCACTCATAGCATTTGTTACCAATGATAAAATTCTAGTTTTCAAACTGAAATTATAATTTTTGAATTGACCCCTCTCCCTCAGGATGACAGCCTTCCAATAACTAAGCATGTTTCTAATGAGATGGTGATAATAAGTAAATGTAAGTTTTTTAATACTGTGTAATAAAATGTATTGGAAGACCTGCAAACCCAATGAACCAGTATTTTTCAAATGACACACACACACACATATATATATATATATATATATATGTATGTATACACACACACACATATATATATGATGTCATAGAGTCAGGCATGGCTAAAGGAGTCATTCAGATTTTTAAATAGACCAGTGGATTTTAATATAACAGTACAAAAAGTTTGCTGGTATAGTTCAGATTCTACATTGCAACTAACCTTTAAGAACCTACCACTTGTCCAGTTTTAATATAGTATTGAAGAATATTGACAATTATCTAAAAAGGGACTGACTTGTAAATGTTATCATTACTTTTCGCTTTCTAGTGAAGTACTCTTTACTAGTACATTCACTAGTAAATGTTAAGTGCTATAGGGGAAAAAAGTGGTGCACCTCAAAGGGCTATGGTGAGAGGGCACTCTAGTGCTAAATAGAATGATGAAGAATCTTACTGGGAAGATGACATTTGAGCAAAGACTTGGAAGGGAGGGAATTAGCTATACAGAAGGAACTAGCCCCAGTAAGAGTGAGATCATGAGGCAGGTATGACCAGAATGGTAGAGCCTTTTTAGGCCTTTAATATATTTTGACCTTTTCTGTTGAGATGGGAGGAGTCATCGTTGAATTTTTAAAGGCTAATTGGTCTCTTAGACTATGCATGGTGCAGGGGCAGAAGTGGGGAGTTGATTTGGCTGTTTCAATAATCCACTTGAGTCATAATGTGATTCAGACTAGGTTGGAGGCAATAGACATTGTGAGAAGTGGTTGAATCCTGGTTAGACTTTGGAATGTGAAGATAATAAGATTTTTGACATACTGATTGCAGAGTGTGAGAAAAAGAAGAGTCAAGAAAAA